TAGTTTATTTAAAAAATCCAAACAGCCTTCTTTTTTTCCCTTTTTATAAGTGACGTTTTTGTGAGATTTACTACTACCCTTGTCTTTCCCAGGCCTTTCAGTGAGTAAACTACCCGGGCGCGCCGAGTTAAATGTGTTCCCAGCAAAGCATACATACATCATACTAAGATCTCAACTGAGTGTGTGATTAGACTCATCAGTGCTTATTGCGTTCTGCCATGCAGGGCACAGCCAAGGCTCATGATACTAATACACTTTAAGCCATCCTCTTCAGTAGCATTTACACTGCAATCGACATCGAGGCGGTCTCGTCAGATACAAGTGACTCCATGTGGCTCCAAATGCACGCAAGTGTCAATGGGCTCAATCTCAACTCAGTCCACCTCCGAGCATCGATTACTCAGTCAGCATCCCGGAGTCCCGGCGGTCGGGTGTATCCTACCGGAGCACTGCATTAAAGAGTGGCCGGGCATGAAGTAGCAGTTTATCAGTCAGAGGTGAATAGCAATCGATGCGGGCGTAAGGACGGATATGGAAATGCTTTTGTAGGCAGAGCTTGCGAGTCAGTGCCAGTTGAACGATGATAAATCAATCTGTTATGACTGGGAAAGAGCGCATGATTGTGGAGTCTGTTTGTGTGCGTTTCGCTTCCTACTGGACACACGGTCGGTTTGCAGTAGCTGTGGTCACGCAGTGGATTTGCAGCGAACCCTGATGCCTTTGATCAACAGACTGGAACCTGGTGGAAAGAGAAAGAAAGAGACTGAGGTGAACACAGCTGTAGAGGTCACACCGAGGGGTCCAGCCGGGGCCGTAACCCCTCTCAGGGATGAAGTGACAAGCTAGTGAATGGAATAAATCCTTGCGACGTTTCCAAGCTTCAAGAGAACCGAGACACGATGCGGTTTAAATAAAAGCTTTGTCTCATAATGGATCCGGATCGATTTGATGAGATATAAATACAGACATCCTGTCATTACAGAATGAGAAGGGCTTTTACATGGCGAGTTGATTCGGACAGTCTTATTTTGACAGTATTTCACTGTCTGATGGAAACACTACCCTTACGAAAAATAAGTTTATTCAAGTGTGCTATTAGAATACTTGTTTTAAACTAAGTGTACTTTCAGTCTACTTTCAATATACTTTTCAGATATATACTTAACTAAAGTATACTTAAGTATACTTGGCATATACTGACAAGTATACAGAAAAGTCTAAGTATACTTGTACTTAAACATTTGATCAAGATATACTAAAGAAAAGTATTCTTTCTGAATACTGAAAGTTTAAGTGTACTTGGCTTGTACTTGTGTTTACTCTTTTAACCTTATTAAATAATTTTCACAGGTTCACTAATTACCTTTTTGTTTTAGTTTAACACATCAGTATATATATATATATATATATATATATATATATATATGTATATGTGTGTGTGTGTTTAGCCACTGTTTTTGTATGCTTATACATTTTCCCCCATAATGAAGAGAGCCCAAAATGTTAATGAAGCTTTTTATTCAAAACAAAAGCTGTCATTTTCAACATCACAAAGGTCATAACCCAGACCAGAAAACATAGTGAGCACACTCCCCTCTCTTTCCCTTAAAATGAATTTGACCCAAATAAAACATACAAATTCCACTTTATAAATATCAAAAACCCAAAACCTTTGCTTACAACTGTTTTTGCTCCATTTTTGTTTTGTTTTTTTTGTTTGTATTTGGAATAGTTCACCCACAAATGAAAATTCTGTCATCACTTACTCGCCCTCAATTTGTTCCAAACCTGCACAAGTTTCTTTGTTCTACTGAATACTAAAGATGATTTTTTGAAGAATGTCAGTAACCAAACAGTTGATGTTAACTTCCATAGTATTTTTTTCCCCCACGTCAATGGGGTCCATCAACTGTTACTGGTTACCCTATTCTTCAAAATATGTTTTGTTTTCAACAAAAGAAAGAAATTCGGTCCCACTTTATATTAAGTGGCTTTAAGTACTGTGTACTTACATAGGAAAATAAGTACAATGTACTTATTGTGCTCATGTTGTATTGTAAAACACTTTTGCTGCTATTGAGGTGTGATATGGGTAAGGTTAGGGACAGGTGTGGTGGTATGGGTAGGTATCAGGGTGGGTTAAGGTGTAAGGGAAGGGTAAACTGTGTAATTACAAATGTAATTACATCAATTAATTACAGTTGTAATTACATGCAGGTATTTTCAAAATATAAGTACAATGTAAAAACATGTATGTACACAATACGTCCAATGTATCAAAGTAGTAACTTCTATGTAAGTACATAGTACTTAAAGCCACTTAATATAAAGTGGGACCAGAAATTCATGTAGGTTTGGAACAACTTGAGGGTGAGAAATTGAAGACACAATGTTAATTTTTGGCTGAGCGATCCCTTTAAGAGTACTAGTATTTTAGCGTTCTCATTCCAAGGCGTCATATACTGACGCTTTTGCCGAAGCGTATACAACGCACATGGCACCCTTTAGCGTCAATATGAGACGCAGTGGTCTAACCCTAACCCTACCCTAGACCTAAACCTACCCATACTCTGTGCGTGTTATATTGACGCTAAAGGGTGCCATGTGCGTTGGATGTATAAGCTTCGGCAAAAGCGTCAGTATATGATACATACATCCAGTAAATGAAAGGCGTTGTATTGTCGATATTCTTCTGTGGAGTCTCATTTTGACAGCTTTTGCCCATCTGATGTAAACACTAAGTTCCCATAGTAGGTTTGTTTGAGATTTCGAGAAAGTCAGTCTTCGCAAACATGTTTTGTACTGATGGCAAGATTAACTCTAAGCCAGGCCTCAGTCTGGCCTGATCTCTGCCTTTGCCTGTCTGCTTCTTCAATTCACCCCTGGTCTTCATGTCAGTTAGAGTCTGGGCGGCGCTCGAAATCTCCACCCTATATAATGAAGACTACTCTCAAAGCAATTATCTACTGATAAAAATCGTTCTCTGTAATAAGCTGTAGAACTGTGAAGCTGCAAGACAGGGATATTGAGGTCATTTTCATTATAGTTGGTATTATTGTGTGAGCTTATTTGGGCTAGTTGTGTTGTCGGACAAGGATTTAGTCTATTTTCTTTTTTCTTTGCAGGGCTTCTTATGGTGATAAAATCACTTAACATGAATTCATAGACACCAATGATGCTTTTCCTAACTTTTAAAGTGTATTTTTGTATTTAATTTTAAGAAATGTATGCCTCTGGGTAAACTTCAGTGAAAGGAATAATAATACAATATGCATAACATTTAACCTTAATTTAATTGTTTTTGTTGTTATTATTGAATCTGCTTGTGAAGGTTACAGTTATTGCATATTGTAACATATATGGACACATTGGGGTATTGGAATCTACCATTTAATGTCCATTTTAACAAGTTAGTGAACACGTTTTTGTTTTGTCCAACAAATATTCCAATCATTTTTAGAAAAAAATATTAAATATTTAAAACATGTGATAACTTGCCCCAACCTGATATTTATCTTTGATTTTCACTGAGTTTGCCGCAATGATTTTGATTTTGAATGCGAAAAATCCATTAATCACTCATAATGGTATCAAATGTACTTTTAATCAAATGTGTCACCTTGTCTCACCTTCTCCATTTTTATTTTTATTTTTTATTTTTCATGTAACACAGGACATCAAATGACCCGATTTGTTGAACTGAACCTTTACCTATTGTGTTTAGCTACAGTTTTTGTATGCAAATTCACAGTGTTTATTTTTTTTCCAGAGACCATCTGAGTGGTAGTGTCCCAAATAATAACACAGCTTTTTATTCAAAACAGCAGCTGTCTTTTCCAACCAATATCTGGAGTTTCAAAGGTCGTAGCCCAGACCAGAAAACAGTGATTCACCAAAATAAAATGGACGCAATGCAGCGCACGGCCCTCTCCCTTCCCCTGTGTGGTCCATTAGAATGTGTGGGTCATGAGTTTTGGCCCCAGCTGTCTGATTAAATGGACAGATTGACTTTTGGCTGAGAGAGCTGCTTCATACCCCAATCCTCCTGCCTCTCTCTCTCTTTCTCTCTCTCTCTCTCTCTCTCTCTCTCTCTCTCTCTCACACACACACACCATACACACACACCACTGCATGAGCACTGAAACCTTTGGCTCAGTGCTGGCTTATTTTAAATGCGCTTCCTGCATGCACAAGTTCATCCGTGTTTGTTGTACGTGTGTGCGTGTGAGTGTTTCCTGCATTGTCTGAAACAATATTACTGAAAATAATAAGCCAGAAAACAGTATTTATCTTCACCGGCCTCTGACTTGCGTTGTTATTTTTGAGTTGTTTATTTCTGCTGTGCTTCTTTGTGTTATTTTGCTGATAAAAAAAGCAACAGTGAGCATGTAGATATCGAACCCCTTCATGGATATGATGCTCTTTAATGTATTAATTATTAATTTTGGTACTTGCAAACATGGTACAGTAATTTCACAATTGGATATTTCCTTTAAGAATTAATTAATTTGTAAAATACTAAGTTATGGTCTGTATAATGACCCTCAGATGACTTCTGGTGTAAAATAACAACGCAGTGCATAGGCTGTTGAATGTGTTTGGAAAATTCTGTGTATTATTTCCATGCAAAAACTAGGGAAATATGTTTAAACATATTTTTCACAGTCAAAAATCAGCATTGAGTTGTTAACCCTGTTAAAACAACACTTTCCCCCTTGATGAGTAGGCAAGACATATTTTTAACTTGAAATAAATATCTTGTTTTGAGTTAAGTAAGGCCCAGAACTTCTTTTCTATCTTGCACCTTTGTAGTTCTACAAATGTTTATTTCATTTCAGTTTTAGTTTATATCTTCCCTTCAGAAATTTTTGGTTAAATACGGTGTCGTTTTTAAAAGCGAGGATTTCAATGCGAGTTCTTTGTGTCTTTGAAGCACTTTTTGAAGGCTTGTTTGCTCTTGTATTTTCTCTCTGCTCCATCTTTTCCATTCTTGATCCTAGGTCCTCTTTCAAAGAAACAGAATGATGATTTAGCTGATAATGACGGTGCTGAGGATGAAGGTATTTTTTTGATGCCAAACTGATATGCATGACAAGGAACCCTCCAGTTTTTTCTTCTTTGTTTTTCTTAAATTTCTTGTCTATTTTTGAGAGTGGAGATTTTTTTCTTGCTCGTTTTTTGCTGGATGTGTTTTGTCGTTTTTGCTTGATGTGACCTGTCTCCCGTCATTCCAGATACATATAATTGTAAATAACCCTTCATAGGCTCTTGCTTGAATATTTTTTATTATAATTTCCTTTTAATTTTATATGTTGCATCTCACCTAAACAAACCAAAAACAAGCAAACAAAAAAGAAAACTAATAATCCTAAAATTAATACTTAACACTTTTTGTGCATGATTTTCAACCTGTCTGCCTTTAAAAAAAAACAAAAACAATTCTGAGGTAATCCCCTGGTTTAAAAAAAATAAATAAAAAAAAATCCCCGATTGGTAATCTTCCGAAATTTAACCGGAAGCCCCCTGCAAAAATTTCCTATGCAACATTGTATGTTCCTGGAATCAAAACCGCCATGTCTGCATTTCCATCAGACTGTGCATCGATAGTCATTACTGTCCAGCCGCTGAGACGACTTTTAACTGTCCGATGTTTAGTGGTCGTGCAAAAAATCTATACAGATGCACAACAAATTAACACATCGATTAAATGCCTGGGCTGTAGACTGTAAAAGAGGTACAAAATCTAATGATAATAATCCCTGAGTGACTGTATGCGATAAAAACATTTCCTTTCTTGTTCTTGTCAGAACTGAAGCACAGTGAAGACTGTCTCCTGTATAATCAAATGCAATAAGAACCAATTAGAGCAGGCTAAAACCAGGAAAGAGCCTGCTCGCTTTGATCTGCACATCAAAAGATTACAGCAACACAAATATACAGTGAGAATCCCACAGAGTATCTCACATGAACTGTCTTGAAAACCGACTGAATAATCCTCCAAAGCATGCCCGACGATATACTGGGGAAACACTCATCGATGACATCAGACTCGGACTTGGTGTCTTCAGGGGCCTGGTCACAGCCACCCATCAGGTGTCTCTTCTTATTGGAGAATGCCATGCATCAAGCTACAATGGAAAAGTCCTCTCAAAACCAAGAGCTTCCCAAAGACTGCAACAACTGTGAATCTATTAAGAAGTCTCCAGTGATCGACAGTTCCTTTGATGGTAACAATTGTGTGTGCTCGTGGAAAGCTCCCAATTGTTCTTTTCGAGGATCTGCTCAAACACGTAATGTGATAAACTTTCAACCTGCACCTTTTTTTTGCTCTACGTACAGAAACAAACTATACAAACAAACTTTTTTTTTATAATTTTCAGTATATAAAACACATGAACCACAGCTAAACCCGTTAACTTAATAATAAGCTATAAATCGCTTTCGAATGCAACATATGTGACAGAACAGTTTAGAAGAATGTATTTAATTGTTACCATGGCCCATTCCACATAAAATGATTTAGCATTTTCCTGTGCTAAATCTTTTGTTTTGTTGTGTTTTAGCTTGTGCTAGCTTGTTTACTAAAATACTTATTTCCAGAAACGTACTCAGTTACTAACGTCACCTCGGTTCTCGCTAGAAGAGGGAACGAGTACTGCGTGATATCTTACACTCTTTTCCACGAGATATTGAAGCCAAAAATTATCCTTAATTTTGAATTAATGTGAAAAGTGTTGTGGCAGCATGCAACCATACACTCTTAGAAGAAAAGGTTCTATATAGAACCTTAAAAGGTTATATCAGTTCTACGTATTCACTCTTAAAAAAAGGGTTCATCTGGGTTCTATATAGAACCCTGGGGTTCCATACTTGGCCAATAGAACCTTTTACCAAAAAAATGGTTCTATATAGAACCATTTTGGAGTTCCATATATGAAGTGAGGGATGGAACCATTTCTGGTTCTAAATAGAACCATTTCTTCTAAGAGTGTAGGCAAGGTGTCTTGGCGTGCCTATTGGCTGTCCTGTGGCAGGAGAACCAATGGTGACGTCAGAACCAATGGGGGCGCTTCGTGCCCACCACGTCACGTCCCGCCGAGACTGTCATGGCCTGGGCTTATAAATACAGCTCAATGGGCTGATATGATCTGATTTTTCATCGCCAAAGCGAACCGGAGCGTGTTGTAGTCATGGTAAAGATATGCAGTACTCGTTCCCTCTTCTAGAGAAAACTGAGGTTATGTTAGTAACCGAGTATGTTCTCTTATGAGAGGTTCTCTCCTACTGCATAATATCTTACGCTAGGGGAACACAGTGTAAAATGCCGTGTGTGCTGGAATCCATCACCAAAGTCCCAAGGGCAGGTGCCCGTGGCTCATACAGTGCATAAACACCAGGGACTCACATCCCCTGATTCTGAGAAGAGAGGCTAGAAGCATCATTCCCATTAAGTAGGAGCGAGACGGGGGGAAAGGCATAGAGTGGGCAGCAGGGCCAGACGTGCATCCCTGCTCTTGGAGAAAAACTTGGGACAGTGAGCATTTTCTTGGGACGCAAACAAGGTAGTCCTGCACTCTGCCGAATGTCTCCCACAGAAGTAGGCCCGGTTGCAGGTGCACGGATGATTCTTCTGCTGGAACATTGTCTGGACAGTCTGTCTGGTTCCAAATTCAGATGACCAGGCACATGTGCTGCTCTCAATGAGCGCAGATTGTGCTGAGCCCAGATCAGGAGGCGCTCCGTCAGCCTGTAAAGGTTTCAGGACCTGACGCCAACCTGACGATTTATATAGGCCACCACATGTTGTCTGAGAGGACCAAGACAAGGTTTTATCTGGGGACAAATAAAAGCGCGTTATGGACTGCCATCATTTCCAGACAGTTTATGTGTAGAAGCTTTTCCCGTTCTGACCACTGGCCAAAGAACAGTCTGCCCTCGAGAAGTGCTCCCCATCCACTCCACACTTGAGAAAGTCTCCAGGTTTACACCTGACTGGTACCAGTCGATTGCTCTCCAAGGTTTCAGAGCTGAGACACATTTCTGATCAACCTAGAGGCAAAAAAAAAGACTGGAGGCCCTTGTCCAAGGTGGCACTCGCAGTTTTAGCCATGACTGCAGCAGGCACATGCGAAGCAGACCCAACTGGAGTGCAGATGATGCTGAGGCCATGAGACCAAGCATTTTCTGAAACCTTTTGAGCGGGACTATAGTGCCGCAGCGGAAGGATTTCATGATGCGCTGAATGTTCAGTCTGCACTCCGGCAGATATTCTCTGACTGGGAGACAGCAAACTTTTCGCCCAATTGACTTTGAGACCTAGATTCTCGAGATGTTCGAGTAAAATGAGCTCTGAGTGTGATTGAGCTAGAATCAGCCAATCGTCAAAGTAGTACAAAAATAACATGACCCGAAGTTTCAGGGATGTGAGAGCCGCCTCCATGCACATTGTAAATGCACAGGGTGCTAGGGACATCCCGAAAGGTAGGACTGTGTATCGATATGCCTGGCCCTCGAAGGCAAATCTCAAGAATCGCCTGTGGCGTGGCACTATTTGTATTTGGAAATATGGGTCTTTCAGATCTATTGACAAACCAGTCCCCTTGGCAATTCTGTGCAAGGAATTTCCTGGTTGTGAGTCTGAACTGGTGTTTCACAAGCACTTTGTTCAGCTATCTTAGATCTACAATGGGTCTGAGACCCCCGTCTTTTTTTTGCTGTATAGACCCCCTTTGCTCTGAGCTTGAGATAAAGGCTCTATGGCCCCTTTACTCAATAGTTTCGCTATTTTGGCACACTCAGCAGAGTAAAAGGAAATAAACGCCGGAAAGCACAGCAGGTACGGCGACTGAAGGCGGCGAGATCAAGGCCAGCAGCTTTAGATGCGAAGGCTCGTCCGCAGAAGGATTTTCTCAGACGGCGCGACTTCACTCCGGATCCAGTGATGCGTGAGCTTCGCTGAAGAGATGGAAAATCATCAATCTGTTTTATAGGCCCAGGCCACGCCCGTCTTGGCGAGACGTGATGTATGCGCGACGAGACGTGATGGATCTGACATCACCAAGGGCCTCTCTCGATAGGCTGCTGCAGTTGCCGCAGGAGAGCCAATAGAGCCATTTTTGGCTTCAGGATCATTTTTGGCTTCAATATCTCGAGGAAAAGAGGTATAGCGTAAGATATTACGTAACCTCTCGGAAGACACCCTGGACTGTTAACATCTTATATCTTAATATTAATATCTTGGACTACCATCTTGCTAACATGAAACGTGTAGCAGTGGCTTCGCTAGTACAGTAAAATGTTAGTGGCGTCGCTACTAATGTTTACTTGTAAACGGAATTCAAACATTCTCTAAAAGGAATGTTACAGAGAAACACAAACCAAGTGTGTCAGAACACTCCAAGGTTATTGTAAACTGTTATCACAGTTCTTAGCTTTTAAAAATCAGTTGACGGTTAAAGAAAAATGATTCTGAAGATCTCTGAATAATAAAAAAAAAAGCAATATCAGGGTTCCCGCAGATCCTTAAAAAGTCTTAAGTCTTAAATTAGATTTTTTAAATATAAGACCATATAAAGTCTTAAAAAGTCTTATTTTTACTTATGAAAGGTCTTAAATTTTAGATGACACTTCGATTTGGTCATATCTCAATGTTTTCCAAATTAGAAATATCTTATTTGCGTACGTATTGTTTTTATTAGCCTATTCTATCTTTGTGGATTTGCTTGTTCAAATTTGCTTGTTACCAACAAAACGTTGAAAACATCGAGATATATATTTTTGTCAATATTGCACACCCCTAATGTATGGTATTAATTTTGATTTCTTCAGGTCTTAAAAAGCCTTAAATTTTACTTTAAAAAAGTCTGCAGGAACCGTGAATATCTTTACCCTTGACATAGCCTACTTACAAACTGTGGTAATTTAAATCAAGCTGTTTCTATCATGTGCCCCAGTGGTGAATTCATGTTCAGATTTACTCAAACGAGGTAAACATATAAGTAAATACGTTTATTTAAATTCCTGAGGCCTATCTGCGCATGCTTTTTGCTAAGTGGAAAAGGGCCGCCGTTTGGCTCTCAGACAGCTGTAGCTGATAGGGCTGAGAGGAGACACAGAGCGCACATTAATTATGTAGACATAACGCTACCTTATTACTGCACACTGCTTATACCAGCTGCCGTGGCATCGCCGACAGTTCTCGCCAACCAGCTCCTCTGATTTTATTTCATAGATCCAGTAATTGGCTTGATCACATCAGTGGCCCACTCACAGATATTAATATCCATTCTAATTAGTTTACATTTTTGTTTTTGATATAAAAGCTGCATACTGGCCATAACCCAGTATCATCAATCATATATAACAACTTCAAATACCAAGGGATTCTCCAGATTTGACTATTTGCTAGAGATTTACTAAAGCAAACTATCACCAAAATCAATAGCCACTTTTGACATATTCATTAATCTGGTGCTTTAGGATGAAGCGTACAACGTTTATTGACTTTTTTCCAAGCAATCGGTAGAAAAAGGCCCAAGAGACAATTTAAGTATGTGGTCTTAGATTGTGCCAGATCGAAAATCCAAAGAAATAGGATTTACAAAATTAAAAGTCTTACACAGCTCACCTTAAATTTTAAGTAACCAGCTCTTAATATCACATATATATATATATATATATATATATAATTCCAAACTCTCTTTTCTGTGGAACACATACTTAAATAATTTGAACAATTTATCCATTAAATGGAAGTCATTGCAGTCCAAAACAACATTGGACCCTATTAACTTTCATTGTATGGACAAAAAAAAAAAAAAAAAAAAAAAAACATAGCTTTGTGTTTTCAAGTCAACACTGTTGGTCACATTTCAACAGTGACAGAAAAAAAAAAAAATCTGTTCTTGTTATTGTTTAGGAGTGACGTTTTGGAGAAAAGCCTCGGTACACTGCACTTATAGTTGACATTTGACATATGACATTATAAAAGACTGAGGAAAATACAAAAGAACCGGTGTGTGCATATACACGCAAACGCTGGCCTGTGGATGAAGAGTATTTCAGTCTGAATGAAGACTGGGATCAATGGAGTATTCATTTCTCTGAGGAATCACTTCCTGTCTTTCCCTCCCGCTGGACAATGATAGACTCACTGGGCTAGTTTACATTCTTACGTGGCTCATGGGTCATTCAGTTCATTATCAAAACGAATATAAGATATTAAAACCTAGTTAATGCTTACTTTAAATAAAATCTCAAGAGCGACCTAATCTTGAGGGTTTTTTTTTAAAATAAACAGATTAACAAAGGACTCAATTCATACACAAAGTCAAAACATTGGCAGGAACAGGAAGTGGTGAGACAATGTATGATGCGAAGAGACATTATGTGCCTGACAAAGAAGAACCATTGAGTCCAAATATGACATCTGAGGATAACAGAAGAGATGCTACACTAGGGAACACAGTGAGACAAGATGAGAACTGTTGTTAGCAAATCTCACTTTTAGCATTAGCAAAAGAACAAAAGGTGTCAGATGAGATGAAATGAGAGAAGCTGAGACATTACATCTCTGATTAAAAGGAGAAGAAATGGGACGGGATGAGAAATGAAAAGAGATGAGAAAGACATTTGGTCACCTGAATAAGAAGAACACTGTTCTTTGAGCATTTGGCAAGAAGAGACGAGACGGCAGGAAGGGGCTTACCAAAATGAGACAATGTGAGACCTTACATTGCCAAAAAAAAAGAACAATTTTGTGCATTTCCTACTTTTCAAGATTGAAAAAAGTGGGACTGGACAGGAAAGGGAGGGGTGAAAAGAATCACTTTGGAAAGAGAACAAAATAGATTGGACAGGATGAGGTGAGAGGACATGAGAGAAGACGAGATGAGATGAGAAATGACTGCCTGATGATGAAGAAAAATGAATGTGGACTGGTGAGACGAAATGAGATTGGAGTTAAGACGAGACGCCAAAGAGACGAACCTATTGTGCGTTTTGCTCTGAGCATTTTGCAAGAGGAAAAAAAGAAGAAACGGAAGCAGTAAGATGAGAAGAGAAGGAAATGAGACTAGATGAGAATCACCTGATACAGATAAAAACATCTCACCTTGAACATTCTACAAAAGGAAAACGAGAAATGCCGAGAACGAGTTAACTGAGACAAGAAGAGAAATGAGAAATTGTGTCGACTGATAAAAAAAGAACTATTGTGTGAACATTTGGCAAGAGGTGGTCTTGTTTAGGGGCCTTAAGAAAATTGTTTTGGAAAATGATTGCTTTTTTCATTTGCTTTTTTCGCTTGTTATGAGACCTCCCGGAAGCAGGTCCCTGCATGCCCAATAAAATAACTGAGATTTATGTGAAGGCTTTGCAACCATGATGAAATGGCACTCTCCCTCAAGCAAGACGAAAGTTATCATCTGCATCGCATTTGTGTTTTGAAAATACCTCCCTTTCGGACAGAGACCATTTGCCCAAAGTGGATTACTTTGCCTAAGCGGTGTATGGAAATTTAAAAAGCGTGCAATTTCCATTGGTAAAAGAAAAATGGGATCTGATAAGATGAGGTGAATCCTATTCAGAGTAACCCCCTTACTTAAAGTTTGCCCACCTTGTTTCGAAGCTTTAGTTAAGTCAAAGTATTACTTCAGAAAATAAAATGCCCGCCGAAATTTTAATTGCTGGCAGGCCCTTCAAGAAAAAAAAAAAAAAAAAAAAAAAAGGCAATCACAAAAAAATAAAAAAAGTTATGTGCATTTTTCGATCACCAGGAACATGACATTTGCCTAGGAAATTTCTAAAATCAAGTTTCAAAAATAAAGCCAATTTGAGCAAAAATGGGAGCCCTCAGCTCTGAATGCATTTCTTGTTCTTGTCTACAGTAATTTGTCATTTAATCGTTTCTATCCTCCTCTTTCCAGACATTCGTGAAAGTGGGAGCCCCAAACCGGTGATGGTTTTCATTCACGGAGGATCATACATGGAAGGAACGGGAAATATGTTCGATGGAAGCATCTTGGCCAGTTACGGCAACGTCATCGTCATAACCGTAAACTATCGGCTTGGCGTGCTTGGTAAGCAATTCAATTTTTGCATCATGCTTCAAGGTTTCCCGGTCAGTGTCCCATACGATATCCTCGGAATGGCTCGTTCTAGCTTTCTCTCCACAGAGGTACCATTTTTTCTCCAGTGAAAGATGATTTAGTTGCTTGTGAATAGCCTCAAGCACATGAGCATAAAACGGGTGAAGTGGCAATGCTCTCCACAGCGGCACGCATGCATGAAAACTTATTATAGAAAAGTTTGCTGTAGTTGTACATGATTTAAGGTGATAGTAAATACTGGAACTATCAAAGCTTTATGACCTTCCGGTTTCAATTGCAATACAACAACTCTAGCCTGTATTCGTCTCTCTCGGTCTCTTTCCCCATTGCTATGCCTCTCCCTCTGTCAGTTATCATTTTTCAATGCATCAGATTTGTGGAAAGAGATAAAATTGTGTATTTTTTACTTAATGATTGAGTTTGCCTCGAGCAAATGGTGCTGGATTTATTAATACGCTTTTGAGAGTTTCACCATGAACGAGGTGCTTTCCATATTCCAGTTGTCTAGATATAAAGCATCGGTTGTTAAGGGAAGTTAAGTGTTATTTTAGTTACGTACAAATGCAGTTTAGCACTCAATTATGTTGATCAAGTATCTTTTGCTGCCGCTGCTTTTCTGAGATTGCTTCATCAGTATTTGTCTGCGAGGTTCTTATGCAAATGTATCATTGTGTGTTCATGACAGATCCGTCAGTGTTTTCCTCAGTGATTGACAGTTATTATTTCAGATTAAGATGATGGAAACTCATATGATCCCTGTTTTATTTCACTGTGCTTAACATCTTATGCTGAACTGCATCTGTCTCCAGAGTGAATGTACAATGACTAGAACAAATCCACAAAAATCTTTGTTGCTTTTACAAACATGCTTTTCTAATCATTGATGATGGCAAATTACTTCTTTAAAGACATGACACTGATCATCGTAACACCTGTCTGTGCTTTTAAGGGTCATTTGACTGCAACTTAGCAACAGTTCATCAACATATCATCCTAAATATGAAAATAGTGCATGTTTAATCCTCCGATTTTTGCAGGGAAATTGTGTAAATTGTGATGTTTGACCTTAAGTTATGCAATGGATGTCTGTACTTGTCAGTTGAGTAAGAGTCATAGGTTACTACAACTCATGTACCGATTAATTTGTGGAGCGTTTGTTCAAAGAGACTAGTTAAAGACACATTAGCAGCTGCTGCCAGTCTTACAAGGGGTTTTATCGCCAGTTTAATTAAGTTGTTCACATCTGTACAGTATAAAGGCCTGTTCACACCAAGGACGATGACTATAAAGATAACGATAAATATACACTCTAAAAATGCTAGGTTGTTTTAATCCAATTATGGGTCAAATATGGACAAACTCAAAGATTGGGTTAAAAATGTAACTTAAAAATGTAACCCAATGTCTGGGTTTGTCCATATTTGACCCAAAATTAGGTTAAAACAACCCAGCATTTTTAGAGTGTAAAGTTCTAAAATTCTTTCTCAATGTTAAAGAATAGCAGAGTTCGCACCACAGCTATGACGATAACGGGAAAGAGAAACGATATCGTTGGAATCACTTTCAGAACGATTTTATCCGGTTGATGAGCGATAAAAACATTGATAGCCAATCAGAATCCATCCTAATGAGCTTGAGCATTTAAAGCGGCAGACAGCCACTCACTTAGGCCCCGTTTACACGAGAACGATTCCGGGTGAAAACGTAATAATATTTTTTCGGATGTGCCTTTCGTTTACACGGCGACGGCGTTTTTGAGGCTTAAAAACACAAAAAAGTAAAACCACCCTCCAGAGTGAAAATCGTAAAAACGCTCCACCGCCGCGTTCCCGTGTAAACGGTAAAAACGCAAAAGTCTGCTTGACAGTGAAGGTTGTACACAGGCGCGTGGACTTGGTGGTGTTGTAGTATGCACTCCTAGCCGCCTGAAGTGCATACTACAGTACATTGAATTTCACGCACTTTTGCGTCACCATTTGCACGTGGATTTCCCACACAAAACGCTCGTCTAAACGCAGAATAAAAAGTGATGACGCACCGCCACTTTTGCGTTTACTCTTCAGAATCGTTTCCGTGTAAACATAGCCTTAGAAACAGAACTAAATCGTCAGCTGGTGTGGCTGCTGATAGTTATCTTTGTAGTTCTCGTTCTTGCTGTGAATAAGTCGCCATTTTGACCAGTATTAGGGTGCTGGCAGAAGCTAATATGCTGGTGGCATGAGGCATCTGTTATAGTGCGAGTCGTTAGTCTGTGCTCCATAAAAATATTCAAGAATGAATGCATAGATTCTGAAATTAGCATCAGTTATTTGCATCAGAATCTTCTCAGCATATCTCTCCGTTGGTAAATGAGGCTCAGTGTGATCTTTCTCACTTAATGATTCAGTTCTCAGCCATCTTCCCTCAGTCGCCCTTAGCTTTTTATAAAAAAAAAATCCACTGCTGATTATTGGCTTTTTTTTTTTTCCTAGCTAAGGCGCACAGATCCATTAGGGGGTTTAAGCATGTGCCCGCATGCCACAACCCTTAATTTATTGTTGCTATGTTTTTCTCATGGTCGTCTGGGGTTTGGCTAAGCTCCGGAGCGGCCTCTGGGAAAGGTGGTGTAATGGTGAGAGGGCCTAATGGATTATAGAACTGCACACAGTCTGAGTGTCATTATCAGAACTGTTGTAGATTTATGGAGCGAGTCGCTCTCGTCATGCCCCCCTGAACAAAACCGCTCTCCGACAGCTAATCAGCTGGCATAAGGGCCTGTTTTACCGAGTGCCACCATCATATTTTATTTATTTATTTATTTTTTTGGTAGTGCTGGTGTCTCAATCCTCTTTAGCAACTGTCCTTAAGCCAAAATAGCACCATACCTATAAGGAAAATATTACTGGCTCCAGAGTTAATGTGTGGTTATATTAGCAAAATTTAGGTGATATTTAGAGTGAAATATGAGCAACAATAAGTTCAATTAAATTCAATTAAAATATTCTGTATTATGCTTGTTTCATAGTTATAATTTAGGAAGTATTCTATAACTAGTAACTAGCCAAAGATGAGTGTATAAAATAAAATGTCCTTATGGCAGCAATATACCATGTATTTAGTTATTTTAATTATTTATTTTTTACCTTAAAATAATGTTTCCAAAATCGTTTCTGTGGTTCTTTAAGTCGAAACTGGGTGAAAGGCACTTCTGTTGTTGCTTTGCAGTCCTATATCTGATATAACCATGCTATGCAAGATTGCCAGATTGGGTCGCGTTTCTGTAGTTCTAATGATACATAGGAAAACTTGCTTTATGTAAAGCATTACAATAGTCATTATTTTGTTTTTCTTCGTTTCTGATCATCATACATCATACTTTCATGAAATCATGCAATATACCTTGTCTGTGGACATCGTTCATTCCAAAGTCGGTGCCTGGATAAACAACGAGCATGCGTGCGACAGTAGGCTGCATTATTTACGTCAGCGGTAATTCCGTTTCCAACCTTTAGGGGGACCGCAGAGGAAAAGTTACTTAGTGTTGCTTAAAGGAATAGTTCACTTCAAAAGTCTGTCATCATTAACTTACCATCAAGTTTCAAACCTGTGTGCATTTCTTTCTTCTGCTGAACACAAAAGAAAATATTTTGAAAAATGTCGATAACCAGACTGTTGATGGACCCCATTGACTTCCATAGTAGGAAAAAAAAAAATACTATAGAAGTCAATGGGGTACATCAACTGTTAGGTTACCGACTTTCGAGTTATTTTTCTTTTGTGTTCAGCAGAAGAAACAAATTCCTACAGGTTTGAAACAACTTGAGGGTGAGTAAATGTTGACAGGATTCAACTAATCCTTTAAGCAGACACAACAAAGATGTTAGGCAGCAAGTGCAATTTGTGCATATAATGATTACAATATCAGGATAATATTTTACAGGGTTTTTTTTTTTTATGTCGAACCAAAGTTGGCGTCATCTAAAGTCTTCATACGTTCATGTGTGACCGTTTGGAACCCTTTTCACAGAAACCTGCTAAAAAAGTACCTTAATGGGTCCAAGTGCCTAAAACCCTTCTAAAACCAGCTATGGTCAGATAAAACCACCAAAAAAGCTTAGGCTGATTTATGGTATTATTTTTTATCAGGCAAATTACCCCTAAACTTATTTTTTTTAATTTTATTATTGGGAACAAAAAGATCATATTAAGACCACTTAATTTCTTCTAAAAATATTACATTTCATTTTGAAGGAGCACCTCTCTCTGCTTGTGGATGACGCACTGAGTTACAGTAAAACTATTAACTAGAGTCATCAGCACTTGTTTGTCAGTATGTGTGTGGTTGGTTGGCTGGTGTAAAGTAGATGCAGTCGCCGGCGGAGGTGTGTAGGCTCACGTGCCGGTTAGTTCGGTTGTTTACTTCTTTGTCAAGACTTCACCGCATTGCTCACCCTGTAATAATTGGTTTGCTGTTTTGCTTTAATCATTTCATGTGGCCCAGTGTTGAGGATTATTATTTTTCATGCTTATTAATTTTCTTCTCCCTTGAAACAAATACCCATGATGTTTCAGTTTCATTAGTCTTTTGCTTTCCCCAACCTCCACCTCTCTTGCTTTCTCTCCACGTTTCTGCCTTCAGCGTCTCTCTCTCTCTCTCTCTCTCTATCTCTCTCTCTATCTCTCTCTCGTTCCCCACAGTCATATGCTTGCTTAAGTGTAAGCCTGCCACAGGGTCTTTAAGGAAGCATGTATGATGTCTGACCCTATTCAGGAAGCAGTGTGTCTGGGGAGATGCTTCATTGGAGGGTGTTTATTAATCTTAACAAGCATTTAACAACTCTGCAGGATCGTCCTTCGTCCAATATTTTGCCTCTCCATTGCTTTCTGCTAGTACTGGCTGTTGTTGAATCAGGTGGTCAGTTTAACCCTATATATATATATATAGTATATAATTTTCTTTAAAGCTTGGACTTGTGATGCTTTGACATTAG